ACTGTGATTTGACGGTATAAAGTTAAAATTTCATGATAAACATAAATATTATTTATATTTTTCCTACCTATATTTATGATATACTTAAGAAGTTTAAAACTAAGAGTTGACAGTCTTCCAATGTTATTTTCTTCCTTTTGTTCTAATGTTGCAACATCAAAACTATGCACAGCAAGCGCGTACTATGCTTGGCTGAAAATCACTCTCATGTTTAGTAAATGAAGGAACTTCATTATGAACCTTGTGATGAGTCAAACTACTTCAGGATGACGGGGGAAGCATATCGAGCATTACTGTACTTAGTCACTCCAAAGCAAGACATGAGAGAAAATATATCTATATACGAAAAGTTAAGAGTAACGCTTTTTTCATCTGAGAGTACTTTTCAAAGTCTTAGATATCTGTACGTAAACTAAAGTGCGCCGTCGAGACCTCATTTCACTGAAAGTTTTGTAGTGAACTCTCCGGCAAATACAATCCATTCATTTTGTAGTTATGACATCTAGAAGTTTTAAAAAAATAGCGTTAAATGTAAGACAAATCGAGATCATTAACGGTAGATTTGTCGAAATAGACGGTATCATGAATGCAAGGAATATCACACGGTTCGAAATGTTTATTAAAAAGCAATTGTTATTATTAAAAAGAATATGTAATATATGTAATAATGGAATTTTCGCTTTTTAATTGTTGCAGAAATTATTTTTTTTTGCCATTTGACATTTCGTAATCATTGACCCCGAACGTTAGTTCTTCACTCACCGCTAATAGTAAAGGAGACAACAAAATTATTTTTTGTTTAGGAAAATTCAGTATTAATTAATCAATATTTATATCTTCTTAAAAACAAAAAATACATAAAGTTGCACTGCGAGAAAATGTCGCAGTCTGTACCACGTCGCGTGTCAAATTCTAAACAGCAATGTGTCACCTTCGTTGCTTAGTACCAAAATACATATTCGTAGCTAGCCAAGAAACACTTTCTCACTAATGCAGTGTGATGCATTTCCATATCATGAAATATTTCGTTTTTAACCTAAATAAATACATCTACTTTTAAAAGTAACTATTCCATCTTCTCTTGTTAACCATATGGAAGCCGCTATGGCGTAATGACTTTCACTTGATTGGTAGTGCAATTTGCATATTAATACCTTGTCAAATTTTCAGTATAGCTATATATCACGAAATCGGGATTTTATAATAGAAACATGCATTCTTAAATTGACTTAGGCTAATAAATATACTTGAATGGATAACAGTGGTACACAATTAAATTAAATGAGACCTCGCATTTTTCGTATATGATAAATGGTACTCGGTTAAACTTTCTTAATGTTTCATATATTCTGAACAAAAGCGTCCGTATGCCCAACTCTATCCTGTGAATAGTTTTTGATATAAAGGGTTTTGAAATTGAAAAATAGTCATTTGTTGAAAAGTACTTTGATTAGAAACAGATATTTTTCAAGAATAATGCTTTAATAATATCAAACAATATTTCCAATATGATCTATGACTTAAAATGGTGGAGAGCGCTATAACTACCACAAATCCGTGCCCATTTTATCTCTTTATGTCATGTATTACCAATAAAAGCGTGAGCATAAATTTATTTGAACGATGACACCAAATTAAACTTGTTAACTTACATTAGGTAAGGTCAAGCGTTTTACGACCTTGATATTGAAATATTATCGATAAAGGTCTCGTATTTCATTTGTGGTACATGTCCTCACGCATACCAAGGCCGGTTGTGGGTAGGTTCAGGAAGAAAAAATCATAAAATTTTTATTGAATTACATTCATCTATTAAAAACACCAAATATTCCAGATTGCCGGTTAGTTAGAAAAATGGAACGCAAATATAATCTAATAATGTAAAGGTGAGTTGTAACAGATGTAATAAATTTAAACCACAAAAATTTCCGGTTTTTCTTGTTTACAATTTTTCCTTATATCTGGCATTCGTACAACTTTTATATAAATAAGCTCGATACATGTATTGCAGCACATCCAATTATACATTTATGTTGAATTTTTCAGAAATCGCTTAATTCCACGAATTTATTTTTGTATTATCGTTCTTTCGATCCATCTTAGACAAATGAGTGACAACTGTCAATTGCCATTCATCAAAAACACAATTTCATGATTCGATTCCTTCAAAACCAAACGAAGTACATAGTCAAAACAAAACAAAAAATCTCTGTCATCGCAAATTAAAATTTTGAATCCTGTCTAATAACTTGATGAGGGCCCGAAAACATAAAATAAAAAACTGAAGATAAATTCAACGAATCTATGGTAGATGCGCCCGTGGTACTTGCGCCCACTATCTAAATGTGTGTTATTTGCGCCCTACCGTACTACTTTTCGAGGAGGGTCAAATTAGAAGCAGCAGTTGCGCCCTGTTTGTATTTACATGTAGGTACAGGCATCGCATCCTAATTTGTCAGTAGTGAGGTAATGTTTACTATTAAAGCTCAGTAGCGTATACTACTTGCGCTTAAAATACATTTTCTAGGATTTTTAAAACGATCACGGTCAGATTAATCACAAAATTTTAAGAAAATTACCTAAAATTTTAATCTTTAATAACGGTCAAATCGAGTCCGCCCTCGTTTCTAAGAATGGCTATCATTTGATGGTATTATAGGAAATACCAGATTACCTACATAATGGATCAAACGCAATTATGTAAATAGGTTTTTAAGTACTACAGAATTTGTTAAAATTTATTTGTTATCTATGAGCTAAAATGTATTCTGTTAAAAAAATTTATTGGGTAAAATAAATGGTGATTTATCAATTGATATATTTAATATTTTAACAAAACGTGAGGATGAAGTAGAAGTGGTGAAAGTCATCAGCATACAAATATTAAAATAAGACAACGAGGATTTTTTAAAAATATGTATAGGTCAACAAATACTGAATTTATACTAACCTCTATTCCTTGTTGCTATAACTACTATCAAACAAAATAAACATAAACAAATTTGGCCCCAGATACAAACATTAATAAACTGTTAGGAATAAAGCCCATGTTACCACCAGCATAAACTATAATAAGTCTCTTTCCTTTCGAAATGGTGGAAAACAAACCTTTTGCATTATCATCACCCCAATTATGTGATGATGTATGGCTACTATGTATATAAGTTTCATCAATATACACAATAGAACGGTTTTGAGAACGAAAATATCTAATTTTTTAATAATCTATTCTTTTTTCTCTGATGTCAAGCCGTTCTATTAGAACCTGTCTGTTGTTTCGCGTTTTTCCCCACTTGAACCCAATTTTTTTAAATAATTCTTAATGATGTGTAGCTCCCTTTCCACTCAATTTCCTTTTCTAATTTTTCACTAAGAGTTTTGACTGTTACGCGCATACCTTCTGTTTCGTGAAATCTATGAACTATATCTCTGATTCTTCCAATATTGTAGGATGGAATATCTGTTACACTTGATGTTCTTTTGCGCTTTTTTGGACCTTTAAACAATTGTATAGGTATGGTCAACATAGACTTTTCACCTTTTGATATCTCACCTTCTATAATTATTCGTTAAATTGTTTTTACCGAATATCCTGTAGTTTCAGCAACTTGTTCTTTAATTTCAGTGAGAGTTATGGGATCATCGTTCACAACACATTGTCTATAAGTTTCACTATCATCGTTGTTGTTTTTTTCAAAACTATTTGTTGCCGCGGAACATTTTTTTTCATAAAATATTCGAATAGATGAAATATTATTTTCTTTGCTTGACTACCTAAATGTTTCAGCAATTTAACACAAGTAAGTCACTACTCAGAAGAAAACACTACAAACAAATAAAAATAAATATAACTCAAAATCTGCACGCTACACAAACACAAATTCAAGAAAATATTATCATCTACTGATCACCCCCGACAACACGGCTATTGTTTGCATCTCTCTTTAACAGTTACAGTAGGCGTTGTCAATTCGAGATTAACGCGCATCCCCTTTTCAGACAATTTAGGTTGCGATGCCTGTAGGTAAATATAAAATATCCGCGGTACATTTTTTAGTATTCTAAATTTATTTCTTTTATTATGGTGTATCTCTGGAAGCTCGCCCATCTTCAGGTCGTAAAAAGTTCCTTATGATGTATTTCTTGTATATTAATGTACCACACATGTCCACTTTTTGTAACCACGACTTGAAGATGAGTTATAACTAGCCCGATACAAAAAAAGAAGATAAAAGAGACAACAAAATATTTTATTTAAATAAGTAGGTATTAAAATATTAAATGAAAATATAAATTGACTAGCACGATTCAAATGCGTAATACTCAAAACTAATAGAAAAGAACTTAGGATGGTATTCTTCTCAACCGACGACATTATGATACACTATGATTCGAGTGCAAGTTTAGCAAAAGTAAACCGTTTTTCTTCTTCCTCCAGTTACTTTACTGTTGCTGCACACTTCACAGCCCTTAGAAATACTTCTTGTTAGGGGATATTAAATGGTTTTTTTTTAGGCGTTCCTTAGTGTCTGAGGGTCACGGTAGGCCTTTTCTACTACATCTAGGATTGTGAGTATTTCCAACAAGTAATTGTTTTATATTTTTTGACGTCCATTTTATTGTCTACAAATGCTATATAGTATGTAACTGTATACTATTGCTATAGCCAAGTCTCCAAAAAAAAAGTCTCTACTACTTTAGGGTTTTTCTTACGAAACAGCTCCCGTACTGCTAGTATAGTCAATTATGGATAGGGATTTCTTATCCTTTCGATTTCTTAAGTTCTAATTCTCTTCTCTGTGAATTGGGTATTTCACTTGTAGAAAGTGAAATACTGTGTACATTCCTTTTATCTTTCCAAGTCAGTATCATTACCTTATCGGCTTTTCTAAATGTAACACACTTATGTCAAGCTGGTTTTACTTTTTATTTTCTTATATTTTTCGGTAACCTTTTCTTTTTTGCATTATGGTATCTGTTTGTATGTTTATGTTTATTAGTTCCTTCGCAAGATCCATGCCAACATAATATATGTAAAAATGTAAATGATAATCATCGCGTGTTAATAGAAGATTTGGACAAATTAGTCCTTACGTTGTAGTGGCTCCATAATACGGTAAGAAAACAGTAACGCGTATACTGTTAGTATTTTATAGATGATTTAGTATGTAGAGCCACTTTCACAAGAACATCTAACATTGCCTTCATTTCTCCAATGGTAACATCTGTTCAGATTCACCATACTGCATGTTTTTTTAATGGGGTTACCTTAAGTATTTTTTCGGCTCCATAACGGTTCATTTATATTACAATCTTCTTTATTAGATAATATGAAAAACAGCTAAAAAATTCAATTTCTATCACAAGTGGCATTTTAAACACTATCAGCTATAAATGACAAATCTAGGAAAATCTTGATCATTCGGCTTCCAATTTCTCATTTTTCTTCAGCTTCACCTTCATCGTCCTCATTTCCATAGTCATTATTACTTTCAACCTCAGTAACATTCTCTTTGTCTGTATCTCTTGTTCATAATCACTTTCTCTGATTCATTGTCATTTTCACTTAATTCTAAGTATTTTCCGATTTAATATCTCAATTTTCGGTATGTTTTCGCTTTTATTTCTGTAGTCATGTACATAGGATACTGGGCAAACCTTATATTATTGTGATAAAGTTGAAACTAGGATTATCGTTAATTTGGTAAATAATTTGCAGAGAATAAGTTATTTTTTAAATTTTACTTAAATTTTTTTTTAATCTTGCTTAAAATTAATTTTAATCCATATTATTTCATGTAAATTTATTTTAAAGGGTTTCAAAAATTAAACTTATGAGCGATTTCTGTTTAAATCCTTATTCTCCTATCCTAGAATAGTGTCCAGAAAAAATACAACCAATTCGTTAAGTATTTATTTTATTTTTTGTTGCTGGAAACTTTTATATCTGGCGCCGCCGCTGGTCACGATTTATATTTATTTCGTATTTTACTGATGATGTACACGCTTTAATTGGTAAAATGGCTTATAATAAAAAAAATTACATTAAATCGAATAATGCTTTTATAGTCTATCGGTGTAACTTTTTCGGTGTTGTCCGTATACCATCGATTTTTTTAATTAAATTTACTGATATTTATCGCTAGACATTTACTACCCAAAGACAACGACTATCCTAAAAGCTGTATGACACGAAAGCCAAATAATGTGTGTCGGTAATGAGATCATAAACAGGCTAATTTGAAATCGTTTACTCATTTTATGTATTTAATTCTTATGCAAAACACTTTATTGATAAACATATAGAATTGTTTTAATTAATAACTATATTTAATAAAACGCTAGCCGGATCTATAATTTTGTTAAGTGTTCTATATGTTCCTGAAATCAATTAATTAAGCACAAAAAACTTATTTTTTTCATGCAATAAATATTGAATTTTTCTGAGGTAATAACTTAAGAGACTTTGACAAACATATATTTTTAATAATGATCAATAGTTTCAAATCACTGTCAAAAACAAAGACATCATATTAAAATCTATCAAACACATTCAATATACAGAGTGTAATTGAGAATTACACTGGGCAATTTCAACAATAAATACTTTAATTAAATAATACTTTAAAAAGTTCATTTTAAAATCAATTATTTAAAAGGCATTATTTTTGTGCCATTTTACCGCGTCATAATAAAAAACCTATTTCTATGGGTCACTACAGAATCTGTGATACCATAACACATTAATAATAAAGCGTTCGGATCGTTATCTTTTTCTAATAGTGGCATTTATGATTAATTAACTCTGTCTAAAATCGAATTAAAATTAGGATATTTTCTCATGATACAAAAATTTCTAATGTCAACCTCGATTGTGGGAGACAGAAATTGCTTTTAAAAAGTGTGATAAACATTTGTTAAATTTTACGTTACATTAAAAATGTCTGGATATATTTTAAAGTATTTGGTCCCTACTTGAAGTAAGAGAAAACAGCCAAACTGATAAAATGTTTGTAAAGTTTTTCAAAATCTAGACATTCAAAAACCATTAGGTATGTATTATATTTAATTTGATGTAAGTAAAGATATTCTTAAATTGTCTTTGTTTTCAATTTGATATAAATTTATCAAACTAAATGATCAAGTTGTAAGTCCATATACCTTCCTTCTTACTTATCACTGAGTCTGGGAGTATTAATAAATTTTACTCATTGGTTTGCATTACTTTTTAGGTGGAAGAAGATGCAGAAAGCTGGATTTAGTTCAAAATTATGGGTAAGAATTTAATAATAAAACAAGATGTGCCTCATAAATATACCACCTAAAATTCCTATTAAAGAATGTTTAACTGACCCTGTCAAAAAGGATTGAAAATTGGAAAAATATTATTACATATATAAATTTTATTAATTGTTTAAATGATTATAATAAAGCTTGCCTGTTTTTTATTGTAATCTTTTTAAACAGGAAAGTTTAAATAAATTACCTACAACAGGTTCAAAAACTTATTTTTATTATTGTTGGATTTGTAGTTTACCAAAAGTTGAACCGAACACAATTATGAATACGGTCCTAAGGCTCGCTTACCAAATGAACTGTCTCCTTTCGGTGCTAGCTGCAAATATTTTCATACGGACAATGAAATGCCAGCAATTTATTGTGCAAAACGTTGCACGACAACTTTTAAATTTTACATGTTTACACTACCTTTATTTACTAAAACCTATAGGCTTAACACTGCTTTAGGGTTAACGTTACTTATTATTTATTACCATTTTAGTATCTTTGATCAGAGAAATGTATTTACAAAAGAATAACTGCCATCGAGTTTTATGTTGGACCTGTCTGACTTTTCTCAAAGTCCAAAACGATCTGGTTTTTTGCCGTTCAAAGAAAAGCTATGCATGTCTACGTGCCAGAAACTGGTTGGTCTTGAGTGGGTTCGCACTGATGCAACTCAGTGAACGCGATTAGGGTCACGTAGACATTTGTTTACAGACGTCCAAAACAAAACACCTGCGCACCGAGCACAGCACCGTCTCTGAATATACTATGTTTTATAATGTGTTTTAAAACATGTATCATATATATTATGTTTAGATATGTTTCTAATAATAATGTGTATTTAACAAAAGCTAATAGATGTATTTAAAATAAAATTCCTTTAAAATATGCAAATCACTTAAGTGTTATTAAATTCTGATAGTTTTGCGAAATCTATATAAACTCTACAAAAGTAAATGTCTAGACTATTTACAGAAAAATGTCAGTGTCTTACCATAAAATATAAGCATATTTAAGAGACTCGATTAACCGTAATATAATAGGCAATTAACAGATATAAAAATGTTTTTAGAATATTAAAAAAAAAAAACTATACAAAACTTGTTTTTATTTGAATTCATTAAAAAGATATAACTTTTCCAAAAAATATGTGCCTGCTTTATAATATTATTTAGTTCTTGTTCATCAAAAATAAATTTCTAATATTTGAACTTATTTATTTCAAAATTTGGAGATTTCACACAAAACAGCCCATTATGTTTCTCAAAAAGCATCATTTGCAGTTGAATATGATAATATAATTTTATGGTCGCTTTAAACTCGATATATAGCCATTTAAAATCTCTTTATATCGACATTTTACACCTATGACATGAGAATCAGAAATTATGTCTGGAGCAACTCCAAAGATTGATAATTGTTATTTATAAGAAGCACACATTTACTGATTTTAATCTTTTTAATTCGAAAAAGAATCGGCACCCTCAAGTCGGTACCAGTAGAACTTTCAAATGTTGACAAGAGCGACTCTTTCTAATGACACAATGTGGATGTGATGGAAAGTTCTTCACTTCGATGGTGCAGCCACAACAAGAAAGCAACACTATGCATCCACCTTAAAAATAAGAACCTTGTAAAATCATTTTGAACTTTTCTTAAATATTAAAAAGAATTTAAATTTCCTTCGGAAGCAAAATATTCTGTGAATTTATTTATTACTATATTAACGTTATAAACTTTTTGTGAATTGTGTTCTGGAGTTATGTTACAAGTGTTACATAAAACACTCTTCTTAAGCTGAACATATAATAGTGCACTTCCTTTGTAGACCTATAATAGAATAATTTTTACTTAATAAATAGGTATATCCAAAGTAAAATGTCAACAAAATTAAGTAGTTGTTAGTTATCTTAACAGGTGAGTTTGTAAAATGAAAAAATATTTCTTTTTTAAATTTGGAGCTAAGAGAGTGTACTTAATGTTTTTGTCTTTACGTTGCGAATTTTAGAGCCAATACACTTTATATTATTTATAAAAAAAAACGAGAGTAGGATTTAGAAACTACCGTCTGGAACATTATAAATTAGCTAATAAGATTTTAGGCTTCATTATGACATTGTTTGCAGAACATTAAGGCGCGCGTTTAAAATTTGCTTAAATTTTTTTGGATTTTTAAAAAATTCTTGCATGAAAAAAATTTTAAAAATATATATTTTTGAATTTCACTAAACACGCCCATTATCTAATAATTGTTTCACTTATATCACCGATAAATTGTTGCAATACGTATAGGTACTTAAATACATGGGTGTCGTTACACAATTCTATAGGGAGGGGCAAAATTTTGAAAAAAATTTAGAATGTTTAACAAAGAAAATGAAAAACAAAAAAGCAATACAAATAACAAAAGTTTCTAATAAATAAAATACCCCAACAAAAAAGACAAAAACTAAAATAAAAAAAAAACAAAAAACTTAAAACACATATTTTTAAAAAACAAACAGAAGGTGTAATATAAAAGAAAAATTTGAGCAAGAAGACAGAGCCATACATAATATAAAAAATAAAATATTTATAGAAACACAAAAACAAAAAAACTCACTCAAACACTAAAAAAACGCAAATTTTTAATTTCTTCTTCCTCTACCTAAAATAATCGATAACAGAAAACATGATTTCTTTTTAGTTTTTTGCGATTATTTTTCGATGTACGCTCATCATACAAAGCGCAGTCAGCCTATTTTCATTCATTATTCGCTCTGTGCGTGACAGCAGCGTCAATTTATGAACTAACGGACGATATTTGCGTATATTGAC